AAGCCAAATGGAGTAGGTCTTCTGCTTATTTTTTTCTTAAGTATTTATTTTTTAGGTGTAGATGGACACAACACAATGTCTTTATTTTTATGTGGTGCTGAGGATTGAACCCGGGTCCCACCCGTGCTAAGCGAGCACTCTGCCGCTGAGCCACAATCCCAGCCCATCTGCTGCTTATTTTGACAGCATTTCTGGGTAAAGGGTGAGTACCATTTTCAGTTCTCCAGTGCACTCTCTATTTCTCATTAGTTGTATCTGAACATTTCTCTCATCATCTCTTTGTAGTCTGGAATTGCCTATAATGCTGACCAGATTTTTTTTCCCATCTATTTCTTCTTCTGATGGACTACAAGTCATGCTCAGCTTGACTGAACTGCTTATACATTACTTTTTAGTTGGCACCCCTAAGACAGAGGTGCATTGGTTTTCTTAGGTGAGCCTATTGCTGATAATTCCTCTGACTTGATTGTAAATGAAGACATATGATTCTGTGTGTACAAGTTTTATACCTTTCAAAGAAGACAGGTTTTAGATTTTCACTGCTCCCAAACCTAGACCAAAATAATTCATTTCCCATTCTGAATGTTGACCCTACAGGTAAGGAATTAGAGTAAATGATTCCGCAGGGCACCTCTCCTATTTAATGCCTAGACATCACTTTTGGTTTTGTTTTTTCCTGTGCTTGGTAAATTGCATTCAAGATTGGACCCTTCCATAATCTAGTTTCTTCTTTCATCTATTATTGTTTGTAAAAAGAAGTATTAGACTTTGAATAATAATGATGATGATATATTACAAATAATAACTAGCAGTGAATCATTAATATGCCCAAGAATCTGTTCCTAACAGGCATTAATTAGTACATTAATTCTCACAACAATTTGATGTGATAATGCAATGGTATCTATTTAACATGTAGGCTTAGAAAAGGTAAATATATTTTTCTCATTCTAGATTGCACCTTCAATAAGCCATGTTACTGTAACTAAAAGCCCCCCGTCTTTTCTCTTGTTTCTAGCATGAAAACACACACACACACACACACACACACACACACACACACACACACACACCACTTCCATTGGGATTTGGCTAAGATTTACAGGCAAGGTTTTAATAGTGATCTTAAACTGGAATTCACAAACTCATTAACAAAAAAAATTTGTTAGGAAAATATAGAATAATAGATGTATGCATGTTAGAGGGCAAGATTTTTAGCCTTCTAAAAATCACTTAGGAAAAAATTCATATGCTTAAAAGTTCTGCTTATTAAACGGACTCTTAGCTATTAATGATTAAGGACATAGAGGAATCCTGGTGTGTACAAAATTCACTCTAGTTGGTTGACATTACAATAGACACTTGGAATTAATATAAAACATTTCAAAAATATCCCTCATTACTCAAATCATTGGCCCATCTCCATATATATTTATTTGAATGATTTTTATATTTAAAGTGTTACATAAGTACATATGTGTATTAGTATTGGTAACTTGCCCTGAGATAAATATCAAACATGGCCAAAATTATTTGCTATGGTTGATATTTAAAATTTCATATAAGTACTTTCACTGTAAATATAAGGTAATTTATGTTTCATTGTCAACTATAGCATCCTAAATTTCATTTTTTTTTCTTCTAGGGGAAACAAGTATATATCATGTTGTCTGGGGGGAAAATTCTCATTTCTAGATGACTAAATAACCTTTAATATTTTGGCATTTCCATCTAGCTAGTTGTTATACCTTATGATCTAATTAGCATTTGGTATTTGATATCTCCAGTGACTAACAAGACCATCTAAATTAAAGCATTTCACATTCTAATGCCTTGTTAGAGAATTCTATTAAAATGGAAGAGAAACAGTGGCTTCCAAAATCCCTCACAGTTTACCTTCGGGTTTATTGGTTAATGTTTAATTCTCCAATGAAAACTTAATGATCTCAGAATGTCACGTATTACAAACTCCCAGGGTGCTCCTTGCTGTGTCTCATCACTCCACTAAATTCTGGGAGGACTTCAAAAATCTAAAAACTTCAGCTTCAATTGTTGGGAAAAAAAATTTTAAAACACGAATATAATATCCAACAACCAATCTTTGTTATGTATTTTAAATACTACTATCACCTAGAAACCAACATAAAACCCTCAATTATTGAGACCTTTGTCAATAATAATTTTTGCAATTAATTATATATAGTCTTTTCTGCAGCTATTTCATAATAAATTTACATGCACACATGTACAGCATTTATGAAATATTGAATAAAGTTCAATTGTTTACATTTTACCTTATATATGCCTTTGGAATTTTTCTAAGTAAAATATACATAGATTTTACAAGATTTGGTACAAAACCCTGTTTCAATGGAGCATGCCAAGCAAAGAAATGCAGGAACAGTGTAATGTACTGGGTATATACATCCTCCTGTTTACTATATATTTAATAACATATGCATGTATACAATAGACTCTTGTTTGGTTTGGAAATGATGTGTTCCCCAAAAGCTCATGTTCGAGGCAGTGCAGTGATTAGATTCAAAGGTGAAATGATTAGATTATGAGGATTAGAACCAAACTGGTAGGTGAATTCACTTAATTAATTAGTCATTTGAAAGGACTACTGTACTGGATGGTGATTATAGAAAGGTAGGGTGTGATTTGAAGACTCAGGTCACTGAGGGCAATCATTTGGGGTTTATATTTTATGCACAATGAGCAGAGCTCTCTCTCTGCTCCTTCCCCATCCATGGAAGTCATAAATTGAGCAGCATTCCTCCACCACACCCTTCCACCATGATGCTCTGCTTCATCTCAGGCCTGGAGCTATGGAGTTGGCCATCTATAGACTGATCATCTGAAACTGTGAGCCAAAATAAACTTTTTCTCCTCTAAAATGTATTTGTCAGGTCTTTTGGTCACAGAGATGAAAAGCTGACTAACACAGAAATTGGTACCAAGAAGTAGGGTCATTGCTATGACTAACCTGACCAGGTGATCAAGAAGATTTGGAACTGGAAGGAGTTTGGAAAAGTTTGAAGATGCAGGATACAGAATACTTCATGCTGTGAACAGAGCTTAGTGGGTGTTTCTGATGGGAGTTAAGAAGGCCAGGATGTTCATAGAGCTGTGGACCGTAAAGACGGGGCTCACGAGGTTTCAGAGGAGGAGGAGGACTCTTTTGGAAATTGGAGTAGAGGCTACAAATGTGTCACATTCTGGCAAATAATTTTTGCCCATGTACTGAGAGTTTCTGTGAGCTTCAATTTAAAGGCAATGGACTAATTAATCTGGCAGAAGAAATGTCAAGAACACAGCATTCAGGCAGTGGCGTAGATATTGCTGGTCTATAAAACTGGAGCCAAGGAAGTTGTTGTTGTTGAAGAAATGACAACCTTTAAAGAGATGCAAAGTACTTTATGCTAAGGTAAAATGTAGGCAATAGGAAATATGGCCCATTTAAAGAATAATATAGTTGAAAGTTATTTTTCTTCTTAGAAAAGACAAGGTAAATCATTTCACAAGATCAAATATGTCTGCATTGGGAATTCACAAGTAGTCAATTCAAGGATGAGTATATAATTTGGCAAATATAGTTTCTATCCTGTGCAGTAATACGTATAGTGATCAGAAACATTCTTTGTGAAGATTTTTATCTTTGATTAAGCAATTCTATCCTGAGATTTTTTTTCCTCCCAAATTAGCATGACAGCTATGATTGAAGTATTTTTGTTGTTGTTATTGTTGTTCATTTGCAACAGCATTAGTTAGCATGCAGCAAGAACCAACATCACACATAGAGGGTTCAGAAACTGTAACATGGGGTTAGACTAAAATTCATTCTTTAGAAACTCCTAGCTAGGGTCTTCACAGTTTACCAAGAAGAAAGTATTAATAACTAAGTATAGAACAATTCTATAGTTATAACTCTTGTACTCATGATTATATATTCATTTTCACTTAAGTTAATGACAAAATTATATTGCTAAAGTATATACTGTATTAAATTTATAATATTTATTTAGTCATTCTCTGTCTTGGTTCGATTCTCAAATGCTCCTTATTGTTTTAGTGGAATGAATAGTTTAAATTATACACACAAAAGCAGTTGGCTTTGGAGAACACCTGGATTCAAATCCTAACTCCATTTACCAGTGGTATAGTTTGGGATGTCTCTTTGGCTCTTTGTGACTGAGTTTCCTCAATTATAAAGTAGAGATAATTATACTATCAGTACCTTATGTTGTTGTAATGAAAAAATATGATAATTCATGCCACAGGTCTAGAATAAGTAAGCACTCACTGAATGTTAACTATTATAATTAACTTTGTGATTTAGCTTATTATTATTTACAAATTTAATACAAATTGTTATGGCTCATGGGCATATGTTTTGATTAACATTGATAGATAACAGAGTTAACTATCCTTGGTGATAGGAACAAATTAATTTTCTTTCCAGATTTTTAAAAAATATCTATACCACCTGTCAACACAGCATAAGAACAACAAAAATATTCACAAGATATATATATATATATATATATATATATATATATATATATATAAAATTACTAAGTGAAAAGAGCAAATAAGGTGTTGAGATATTGGGAGGAAACTAATATTGGAGAAAAAATTATATACATATATGTATATGTACACACACACACACACACACACACACACACACACACGCATAGACATTACATTGTATTTGAACAGTGCTTCTGGGGAAAAGAAAAATTTAGATCTAAGGAGATGAGGAAGAACCACCAGGGAGGAAAAACAAAGGCCATACAATTGGAAAATGTCAGATTTGTATTCCTCATATGGATCTTTCATTTTCTCTGGGATGAATGAAGAAAACGTGCAGCATATATTCTTGGAATGACAAATATGAAGAACAGAATGGGAATTGAACATAGGCTTCTGCTTCATTATGTTATTCAGTCATACCTCTTCTCCTCTTTCCAGTAATAGAGACATAAATGGCAGAGTTGGCCAATGAAAGACTGCATTTTCTCACTTCCACTGAAGTTACTGGTAGCCATGGGTTAAATTCCAACCAACAAAGAATTTATTAGTATTGTGGATAATTTCTTGTGCCTACCAAAGAAAAGAAGGTATATTTCCATCTCTTCTTTTCTTTTTTAAATGTGGATATACCCATATTAAAACATGAAACCAAAGCAATGTATTTAGAAAAATAGAGCAATCTTCTGATACTAAAGATTATAGATCCATTTTCTAGTCCTGATCTACCAACCTGGATTTTCACATGTAAGAGAAATAGACTTCTATCCTGAATAATAAACTATAGCTATTTTATGAATCTTATTTTTTTTAAAGAGAGAGTGAGAGAGGAGAGAGAGAGAGAGAATTTTTAATATTTATTTTTTAGTTCTCGGCGGACACAACATCTTTGTTGGTGTGTGGTGCTGAGGATCGAACCCGGGCCGCACGCATGCCAGACTAGGGTGCTACCGCTTGAGCCACATCCCCAGCCCCTATTTTATGAATCTTAGAGAAGAAAAAAGCAACTGCTTTTTGATGAACACATTTTGCATTCGAGGACATTAAAGAAGTCCTTATAATCATGACAATTTAATCTAGATAATATATGACAAATGTTAGCCATGCCTCAAATGTAGTTGCCATTCTAAATGTCAGTCCAAAATATTATAATATATTCTCAAAATATTTTGTAATAAAAATATTGAATTGCATGTGATATAAACTTTACAAATGTTCACCACTCTCTGCCCCCCACCCCTTTTCCTAGGCTCGTAGCAGCATTGAACTTTCTTCCCCCTTGAAATTGGGCAAGACCATAGTCATACACTGGCAATGAAATATGAGTAACAGCTGTTAACTGTTGCAAACAGACAGTTAAAAGCTGATATGTGAATTTCCTGCTCCCTTGGTGGCCTCCATTCCAAAACGTGGAGCCTCTCTCAGCCTGATCCTGGAAAGCAAATGAGCCCACTACCTTTTCTGCCCAGGAAAGTTGCAACTAACATATGAGGAATGAATGAAGAAATAAATCATCATTGTTCAAACCACCGAGTCCTGGGAATTGTCAGGTATTCCAGCCTACACCAAAACACAGGGGAAACTTACAGTTGACTTTAAAATGACTTACCGAGGGGGGAATTGAAATGATACAACCCAAGCACTAGAGAGGACATTGTTTTCACTAACAATATTCTTCTCTCTCCTTTGCACTTATATCCTGTCCTTCTCTTTCAGATGAGGTAAATTAGGATAAGATTTCAAAATTTTTGAGTGTAATCAGACCACAGATAGTGAGGTTAGAACTTGTTTTCTGTACTTGGTTTGTATTATGGGAAAATAGCTCCCCCCCCCCCGAAACAGAATCTTACTTAAATGAATGCCTAACAGAAATGGGTGCAGAACTAAGGTAATTTTTCATAAACAAGACTTTCCAAAATGTACTTAGGAAAACATTTCTCATGTGCTATTTTATTCTATTTGGAAATCTAATCCTTTCATAAATTAAGCTTTTCTTCTGCTTATGAGCCAGTGATGTGTGGTTATTCAGGGTTAACTCAGTCAAGTTTTCCTTTCATCTTTTTCATGCAGCTACTGATTCATATTGAGAATAGCTGAATCTAAAATGAATGTGATGAGAAACTGTGAGTCAAACAATACATTTTTTTTGTTTCCTCTTACTTTGTTGGGCCAAAAATAATATAAACTACCAAAAAAAATGATGGTGCACAGGTGTTGTTATTGCATTTACAGCCCAATGTGGCTTTTAAGGTGGTTGCTATGGTAACAGGATCATTTATAGACTATAATCCCATTAGGCAAAACTAGTGATAAAGTAAGCTCATTATAACAAACCTTATATTGCTTCACTTCCGGTTGTGTCTGTTTTATGGCAAATTACATTAGAAGAGCTATTAAATAACAAATGTATAAGAATGCCATACTTAGTCATAAAATATTTTTGGACAGAGGAAATGGGGATTTTGAAAATTACTGCAAATGATCTTTTTTTTAAGTGTTAGCAAAACTTTACAGACAAATGCAAATTACTCAGTTTTTGAAAACCTAAATACTAAAGAAATCCTTCCTCCTACAACATACTCTTAGGATCATATCTCCAGAAGTAAGAACCAATAGATTATTTATACACAACAGCACTGGAATCCAGACAGGGTCTGTGACTAGCCCAAGTACTCAGAGTATTGACTGGTCAAAATATAAGGAGGACAAACTTTTATTCCTCAATGTTTTATCTCCCTTTATTTCACTGAATAATTGTCTGATTGCTCTGAATTAGTCTAAATGTGGGGAGGTTTTCACTTCAGCAGTATTATTTCCTTTAAGCAAAATCAGATGCCTGAACATATAGGTTTCAACATAAGATGTCAATCTTAGTAGAAAGGGTCTGCTCTGACAGAATTGAGCAAATTAAGGATTTTAACTGGCTTTCAGTCCAGGAGATGGAGAAGTACTTTACTTATTCCTTCTTCTTAGTACAAATACAATGCAGGACCCTCAGTGGAGAGCAAATATAAGACTTTGAAAGGTGGAGAGAGAGGGTCGCTGAGTTGAAGATCTTAGGACAACGACTGAGGAATAGCACAAAGGTATGTTCTCTGGGATTTCATTTGTTATTTACTGTATCCTAGACTGGACCCCAAAGAAGCCTGCAGATGCCAATGAGTGGGACAGCAACAGCCCTAGGAATAGCCTTATTTCTCATGCATGGGCCAGGAAAGGGGTAGCCCAGAAATAACAACAATGATAATAACAAAAACTCACAAACGTTTAAGAGATACCATTCTACTCTAGTCAAGCCCTACAGGAAAACTGGCCCCCACACACTCATGCCAGCAAAGGCCAAAGGAGGAACCTAGGTATCTTTATCATAGTGGCTGGCTATAATGAGTTTTCATCCCTCCTGGACCTAAAAGAGCCACCCACTCCCTGCCTTAGTGCCAGTGTAGACCATCTAGGGAGCCTAGAATTTCATCTCCACTTAGCAGTAATGAGGAGAGGAGCAGTGATGTCAGAGGAGGCCAAGAGGGGAGCCCAAATTCTCATACCTTTTCATCAGCACAGAACAGAAGTGAGACCACTTACTTGTGGTATCAGTAGGAGCCTTGTGAGAAGAAGGTGTTCTTGCCTTTCCTTGCCAGTTTGAAAATAAATTTCACCCCTGCCTAGAAATGAGAAGGCATTCCTCTACTCCTTGGGTATGAGCAGAGGCTGAGAAGGCAGGGTAGTGTAGGTAGGAATTTCCACCACCAGCTGAAGGTAAAGAAGCCATGCCTCTAGTTCACCACGTGACCAGAAGATGCCACCTAAAGAATATGGTGAAAATAATTGGAATTGCAACAGTTCTGTCATTAGGAATATGTGAACCTATGAGGAAGTGACACAGCATTTTTCAAGTTTGAAAAGAAAATTTGTTACTATGCTCTATATTTTAGATCCCCAGAACTTGATCACTTTTAAAGGAAAGTTTGGAACACATGCATACATATGTACAAATGGTAAGTAGGGGTGTTGATGCAGCTATTTGTAAATTTGCTTGTGGTAATCATGTTTGTGGTAATCAAATATTCACATGGCAAACCCTGAAGATGTGGTGTACCCAACAATTCCAGCAACTCAGAGGCAGGAGGATCACAAATTCAAGGCCAACCTCAGAAACTTAGTGAGACCCTCAGCCATTTAATGAGACCCTATCTCAAAATAAAATATGAAAAGGAGTGGGAATGTCACTCAGCAGTAAAGTAACTCTGACTGTAAGTCCCAGTACAAAAATAAATAAGTAAATAAGTAAAATCAATCCTGAAGATATACAAATTGGCCAATTAAGTTTTTAAATAAAATTTAAAAAATAAAATTGTCAAACCAGAATTCTATATTGAGCAGAGAAATGTCTTTCAGAAATGAAGAGGATATCAAGACAATCTGTTATGATAAAAGGGGCTACATGCTATATTATTCTGTTTATGTGACAATTTTGAAATGACAAAATTATAGAAATAGACATTAGATTAGTGGTTGTCGGGGGTTAAGGGAATAGAGGGAGCAGGAGGAAAATATGGAGTGGTTGTAACAAATCAATATAGGAAGGCTCTTTGTGGAAGTGGAAGTGCTGTGAACCTTGAATATTCTGGTTATGATGTTTGTTCTATCGTACTATAGATTTACAAGATGCTGCTATTGGGGAGACACAGCAAAGGGTGCATGAGAGCTCTCTGTACCATTTCTTACAACTGCATGTGAATATGCAATTACCTTTTTTTATTTTCTAAAAAAAAAATTCATGGGGGTTGGCCTCCTCTTTTATCTTGAGGCAGGAATGCATTATTTCTTTTGTGAATGGAAAGATGCCAATTCTTTGGATTAAAGATGAACTCTGCAAAACCACTGGAATTAGGAGGACTTATCCAGCCCTGTAATCTGAAGTATCTTTGTAATCTCATATAGTGCTCATGATAGGCCAAGAAGCATTTGTTGATTAACTTGAATTAATGAATGAGTGAACAACAAAATCAATCTGTATATGATTTTTGAGATTTATCATTATATAGATAGACCCCTCGAGCTATACAAAGGCAGCTAAGTTCATCTTCCCAACAACAACAGCCTTCTACGATTTGATAATAGCCATCATAATCCTTCCTGTGATCTAAAGTTTTCTTTCTCAATTCTTAGTTCTACAGCTTTTCCCTACACACAAGAGATTTTTCACACAATTAGAGAATATGGTACTTTCCTTGGAGGATGCTTTGATACTCTATGACTAAGCATCATAGCTAGACTGTACCTTTCTTCTTTTATCTTCAACTATACATTTATTAATAGTTTAGTTTCAATATCACAGATATATTTTTTAAAAATTTCCCCAAATCCAAACATTGGGAAAAAAATTTTGACATTAAAAAAATGAAAAAGAAGTGCTCACATGATTATAATATTTAGCAAAAATTCCATTGTTAATGGTAAACACTTTTAGGGCTTTCTCATTTGTTCTTTCAGAAACTAAAAGAGCATATGTTGCTCATTATATACCACATATTTACATAACATGCTTATATAAACATATGTTCATGTATAAACATGTATAATGCACATATTTATAATATATTTTATAACCAAATTGCATAACCATCAAAATCATAGAGGTAAACAATACAATCTTTTTTTTATCTGTACTGAACATGTACAGAACCTTTTATTTATCATTATTCTTTTTTTAATATTATATTTAATTTTAACAGATACATTAAAACATAAAAATTGTCAGTACCTTGTGGTGTTCAGCTATATGCACACGTTGCATAGTTTGTTTGTTTGTTTGTTTTGGTACTAGGGATTGAACTCAGGGGTGCTCGACCCCTGAGCCACATCCCCAACCCTATTTTATATATTTTGTATTAGTTGCTAAAGACAATACAATGATCTTGACATGTAATATATTTGATTCAAATGGAGTGGGCATTCTTATTTTTCCACATGTACAGATTGCAGGATCACATTGGTTATACAGCCATGTTTAAACATACAGCCATACTAGTGTCTGGGCAGCAGAATACAACAATACAATCTTAAGAGAAGGTGTAAATAGTATGATAACCTAATATTTTTTGAGGTTCCTTTTATGCTAAATGTGTGTATATATCTTTATCTATGAATATAGCACATATATATCTATATGTGGATTTAAATTTCTCAAAAACCCAATGAAAAGGATATGATTAAGATCTATTGTATTCTTTTTACACATGAATTAAATGAGTTGATTAAACCCTTAAATAACTGGCTTATGGTGTCCCATGTCACAAATAAGACAGCAAGAGTGGTTGCTATGTTATTATCTTGTAATAAATAGTATGATGGAGAAGATTAAATGATATAGAAACATGTTCCAAAATGAAAAACACCAAAAGCAAGCTAGTAAATAGATAGTTCCATGCCTGTAATATGCAAAAGTATTGAAGAAAATTTATGAAAGCATATCATTCTTGGGTCCAGGGATTTTTTAAAATATTCATATATGTGTGTATATATGTGTATATATCTACATATATGTATGTATATGTGTGTGTGTGTGTGTGTATATATATATATATATATAATGAGTAAAAGCACCAGTTATATAAAAAAGGAAGAGATTTACAGAATAGAGTTATATAAGATTTTTAAATACATTTTTCTCATTATATATAATAATGGAAATACATGAACATTTTAAACATTAGCTAAATGGAAATTATAAAATAAATTATTCCTATTTCCCATGAAGGACTATCATATAATTACTCAGGGGACATGTAAAAGAAATGATGACTGATAAAATACTTAAAGTAAAAACTGTAACTATCAAAAATTATTTCTACAATTTTCCTAGTAAGTATTTTTTAGTACAAATCTAGTATAAACACATAATAGAATACAAATATATAACATGATTTCATTACATATATAGATTGCATATACCTGTTCAACATGAATTCACATGTGTGAATAGTAATAGCATAGATACTTTTTTCTTATATAATTTCTATTTTCTGTTATTTATGTTTGTTTCATGAATGTTTACTACTAGTGTAATTAGGAAAGCATCCATAACTGTAAACTACTTTCTCTGGTGATAAAACATATTAATGGAAAATGCTGTTTTAACAGAAATAAAATAACATCCTTTAATGCTTTTTCATGAATATTATTTTTGTTGTTTCACTTTCCATTTCTAAAATGCCTGAATTTCACTAAATGACATTAATCGCAATGCTTTTTAAGCCCTTCACCAATATGCTGTTTTCACATTAAGCATTTCAAAATTGGAAAAGCAATATCCTCTTTGACTTAAGAATCTGTTATATTTGAATGTTTAATCATCTACTATCTCATATGCAGGAAAGTATTTTTAACTCTGTAAATTTTTTATGTTGGAAATTCTCTCATTTGCTCTCTTTTTACATCTCCATAGCAGACATGCCATCTATCCAGCTGTTAGCAGACTTTCTATGAAAGTTTCTGTATTTTTTTCTTAAAGTTTTCTTGTTTTATTTATTTCTTTAAAAGAAGGCTTCCATTTCTTTTTCTACTCAACACTAACATCCTTGAGGACTGGAGATGCTCATTAAGACTAAACAGAAAATGAGTGTTCTTTGCTTGCTAAACAAATGTTCCATTTCTTTGCAGAAATTTATTTTAATGCAAAAGACACATTAACCTCCTTCAGCTAAGTATCTAAAAAAAGCAAATGACCCTCAATTAATATCACAAAATGCTGCAAGTAAATGCATAACTAAGCTGTTCACTTTCCAAATGACAATAATCAGTTAGAATATATAAATCTCCCACTGTGCCCTAGCACTAGAGCAGGTTATTTGATTAATTACCACCCTACCTGAGAGATGCTTTGCCCTCTATCCAAGCCTCTCAAATCTACTCAAATTGCTAATTTCCATTTTTAAGTTCAAAGTTGTTTACTGAAATCAGACAATTCTACAACCTAATGAAGAGTTCCTAGATTCCACTGGAGAGTCAATGTTGAATAATTATAGCAATAGAAAATAAAATTTTGTTTACAAATACAAATAAAAGATGTTATATAACATAGAGATGGCTACTATCTAAACAGGGAGATATTGTAATGGAGCAACTTAATTATTATCTCAGAGTATATCACTGGAATCTCCAGTGGCATGGAAGATTTTTCTTTTCATTTTTATATATATAAAGGAATAGATAGCATTCTATATTTTATAATCCTGAATATCTCATTAGACATTATATGCTTGCATTGAGGGGTCTTCTTACCTCAGTGTGAGAAATAATGTGTTTCCCAAAGAGGGGTCCATAGTACTTTAGCAGGATGCTCTAGAAAGAGATGTCCTATGGTGATATAATTTGGAAGGCATTATATTCTGCTCTTGACTCCATCCCCATTCAAGAATACATAACAGTATATATTTGTAACTTTAGGAGGTTCAGTAGGAACAAACCTACTTGCTCATTTTGACCTCAAGTTCCTTGAATTCATTCAAACATGAACTCTGTTTGTAATAATACATTTTTATTATGTCTTCCAAGGAATAAATACTCTTTGGAACCCAATTTGGAAAACATTATATATATTTTTTTCAATCAGGAGTATGTAAACATGTGAAAATCATGTGAAATTGTGATTACCATCAAAGAAAGACCCTATCATATTTTGGGGTGTAACAGCTTCTCCCAAATTCTCATATTAAAATGCTTTACCAAGATTACATCTTTTTTTCTTTTCTTTCTTTTTTCTATCTCCTATTGTTGTTGTTGTTATCATCATCATCATCATCATTTTGGACTGAATGCTTCACAATCTACCCTTTAATGAGAATGGTAAAAGTTAAAGTGTATACCTTTCAAAATCCTCAACTTCCAATGTACACTGCTATGTAGAGAACCTTTAATAAGAAAACATATATCAGATATGGATTCAAGTGTTAGGTTCAAGTTCTGGATATACCTTGAGATCTTGGGAGAATCT